GATGGGACACTGTCGTGTACCGTTTTAGAGGAAGTTGGTCGTCGTATCCTAGTAGAGAGGTCATGTCCCGAGACCGTGTCCGAGGCGACAGGGGGCGATTTCCCTGGCGCCGTCGTGCCTTTTCTGCAGTTCATGGTGTTGTGAAGAAGGTCTTGGGTGACAATTTAATCCAGTCGTTCCTCAGAGGGTTAAATTCTGGAAGTTACGATTTTTAAAGTCATTTATAGTGGATATTCGGTTCAGGCAGAGTTTGCTTTTCTCGTTGCGATGTCTCTCGAATTAAAACACCCGACATGTATTGTATCATTTAGAATGTAGGGGTTGATAGAGAGGAAAATCCGTCCTTACCTCGAACAGGACAGTTTAAGCCGGTAACTGCAGTGGAATGTCCATGGGTCAAGATAGTTGATAATTGACGTAGGAGATTTGTTGCGCTTTAATAAAACAAATCCATGTTAACTGTGGGCCAACTTTTAGCTAAAGAGCTAAAAACTGGTGGTTAACATTGTCGTCTGATTTATTTTATACTGCTAACCTATAAATACCAATTGGCTGGAGGCTCGTGAGAGCAGTATTTCTTACATTGATGCGTTGTAGTAATGCATTATGTTAATTGGATTTCTTAATGTTGCAGTAGGCGGCTATGAGTGGACGCCTGATAGAATGGTGTGGTGCGTGAATGAAGACAGGCAGTGTTACACAAGCCACGCGAGTAGTTGCGGCACGTGTACCACGTTCGCATGTGAACGGAAACGGGCAACAGATCGGACGCTTGCTATGGGTACGTAATCTAAGGTCTGTCGCATATTTAGAGAAGTTACAAAGCGGGCGATAGACCTGGTAAAGCATGTTATTGCGATACGGAGAACAGGGTTACATTGATGTTGAGGGACATCGTGGAGCATTTTAAATTGGTGTCAAGTGCCTGTGGTTCATCAGTTAATGATCAGACGGAATTACTCAGAATAGATTTGAACATTGGGGCTGATCCGTGTGTGCTTCTCACAGATTTGATCTCAATAGGACAGCTGCGTCGGTCGAACTGTAGGAATGCACCAGTCCAGAGTGAACAGGATGTTGGGGAGCCATGGGTGGCGTGCCATAACTAGCCTGCGTTCGCACATTGGATGGGCTGGTTGTGGTTTCACCTCAATTTCAATGGCTGACATGTATCATGACCACTGGTTAGCAATTTTTCTGGTGTTTCATACAACATGGCATTGACCACAACGGGTATCACAAAGCTATTCCACTCTGGGGATAATACCTGATTATTTTAGGTAATATTTGGTTTAACTGTCTGGGTATGTTTGACTGGACATGGGCACATGGTGTGTGATGCTCGCCTATGTAGCTATTCTGTTGCAAAATTTGTCGGAATACTGATCGCTATTATATATATGTATATGTATGGATTCATTAGATCATAAAAGTAATGACTTGCTCCTAGTCCAGAGCACTTGTGACTTGTATTGAAAGATGCGAGCTGAGACCAAGGCATTCGGAGATTCGACAGCAAGATGATGTCTTTACTAAATGTGAGATTTGCTGTCTAATATCGATCATTGTGGATGTTAGGTATCTCAGAGGGTGTAGGACCCTTTAAGTCACTTGTGATATGCGGTGTGGAACACAGGACACTGATGCTAATTGGTTCCTGTAATAGGCGACTTACGCGATGATACATCACGGGCGTGAGTAGGTGTTGTTTACATACGGAGTTATATTTCACAGCGGCATATTTATGGGACCATTGGCTACGCTTGGTCAGTCTAGCCACTCAGGTGTTGCATGACTATCATAAGTAAGGCTACAGTAGGAACGCCCAGTTTTAGAACAGCATACTATTTATTGTAGTGGCGTAGTTGCAGCTCGTAGTCACGTTTGCTATAGTCGTGTTGGCTCAGTCCGTTGTAGCTGCCTATGCATTTTACCTGCTAACTTTGTTCATTGATCATATTTGCTAAATATATGTTTTACGATTGAACAGCTGTGAAGCTCTCCTTTCCGGACCAGCCTGCGATGTCTGTGTCTGCACTGATAGTTATATAAATGAAAATTATAGAAAAAAGATATATAAATTGAAATTCTTAATATCAGTATTCATTGATGTGAAATAATTTAAGACAGGGTGTAATTAACATTTTTAAAATACGGATGTGTGCAAATAATGCACAATAAGGTTTGTCGTCGTTTTATTGTGTTTTAAGGTGTTATTGCATTTCAAAACTGAACATTTAGCATGTTGGTGAAATCTGGTCTGCCTGGACAAGTTTGCATCTGTATCGTTTATTGTTTAACGCAGTTGATCGTAAATAAATGTATGATGGAGTGCAATTGTGCCGTCAGTTATTCACTATCTAAAGTCATACATATGTTATGAGACAAATTATACTGCCATATAGTGTGTATATATATTATATCATTGACTGGTTAAAGTTGTGGATGTGTGCACAGTGGTGTATTTTCGTCATTTTTTACCTTCATGCCATTTGAATTTAGTGGTTTCATTCATAGAGAAGGCTATATTGTGAGACATCATTTGTGATTTTTATCTTGGTAGAAAAGGACCTATCGTTGGTTATGCGCGAAGTTATAGGTCTTGTAAAAAATAGTCTACTGTGGTGTGTTTAGTATGTGAGGAGTTATTTTATGTTTATGAAAGAAGTGAGTTTTTACTTTTTTTTGGTAATGCTTGAGCAGCTTATATATAGTTGTAAAGTACATTTGTGTCATAGAGAGAAGGTAAATTTTTGTTTTCTCGTATTATTTATAGTTTGCAAATTGATGTGCGAATAGTATAGGGGCCTGCAGGAGGGCATTAGACTACACGTTAGGGTTTTTTTTCTATTATTTTTATTCATTGGATTTTAGGCGTTTAAAAGGGTTGAAGACCAGATATAGTTTGTTGTAGCATGGATCAGTGTCGTCACTGTTCGCTGCCAAGACACCACAAATTAGCTCTGGTGTGGAGAGTTTTTATATTATTGCGAATGTTTTTGATTTGCGCCGTTTTATGTGAGTAACATTGGGAATCAGAGGTATATTGTTTGCCTTTTTCGTGGCACGTGATATACAAGGGATTTTCTAGGCTGCATATAGTGACAGCACTCATTTTCATGTTCTCTGTAAATGTTGAGCTGTAAACTTGGTATGTAAGAGATTTCTTGACGTATTCTCTCTCTCTCTATCTCTCTCACACACCAGAGCTAATTGTGGGTTCTTTGCCGACAGTGCCGCGTGGATCATGCTACGAACAAAATATTATTGGTCTTATACCTTTTTACGGGCCTAAATGCCAAGATTTGAAAATAATAAACCCTAACACATACTCTATGTTACTATTCGATAATTAATTTGCAAACTATAAATATATGCTGACAGGAAAATCATTTAACTTTCTCTCTCTTCTCCTCCTTCTCATCTCCCTCTCCCTCTCCTCTCCTTATCCCTCTCCTTCCTCTCCCTTCTCTCTCTCTCTCCCTCTCCTCTTTCCCCTTTCCCTCTCCCTTCTCTCTCCGTTCCCTTTCCTCTCCTTCCCTCTCCTTCCCTCTCCTCTCTCTCCCTCTCCTCTCCCTCTCCATCTCCTCTCCTCTCCCTCTCCTGTCCTTCTCCCTTCCCGTTCATTGCCTCTGCCTCGCCATTCTCTTTCACCTCTCCCTCCCTCTCTTTCTCTCTCTCCCTCTCTCTCCCTCTTCTCTCTCTCTCTCTCTCTCTCTCTCTCTCTCTCTCTCTCTCTCTCCCGCTCCTCTCTCTCTCATATGTCTTCTCTTTTAGCTGATATTCGTTGCTGTTTTGTTGTTGTTGTTTTTGTCGTTGTTGTTAGTGAAATGTGGACAGGTAATCTCGTGAACATGGTTATTTGTATAATTTTAACCTAATTATGCGATCGCAGTCCGTGTGACAGAAACACGAGGACTTATAATAATGATCCTTGGATTTTTTATGAACGTGATCAAATAATCGCAATTTGTGTTTATTGCTATAGCTTTGCCTTGTATTCTAAAGTGCAATTATTGATAAAGCAAACTCAACGATGGAAAGAATATTTTATATATAATCTAAATGCAGTTATTATTTGTTGCTAAAACGCGTGTTACATAGTCACTGTGGCCGTGCTAACGAAGTGGCTGTGATCATCTATACAGTGTAATGTGCGTGTATGCGAATAATAAATCGGTAATCTCAAAATGTTTATGCTACAAGAACGTTTTTGGCAATTTATATGTGGCTGTTTTTGACTGGTGATTACTGCATTGATCATTACAGAAGCTGCGAACAGTATACAACATGTTGTGTATATATCATATATGTATGTAATAAAGTAGTGTTACACGTCATCTACGGATGGTTTGCTGCGAATTCCTCTGGTCGACAAGTGTCTTGGCCGTAATCCTGGCAGAGTATATGAGATGACGTCATGATCGCTCAATATTGACGATTTTGTGGGTGTGGGGGGGGGGGGGGGGTTACCGATTAACTTAAGTCGGTTATTTAAATTTAGTAGTTATTTAATTATTAGTAGTAAATTTAAGTGCAACTAGTAACCGCGAACTAAACTCGATAACAAATTCGAATTTGATAGCTACCGTTAGTAAATGTCATCAAGAACGAAAATCTCACAAAGGCACATGTATACAATCAGACATACGCGTAAGACAGATATAGGGTAATTGATACTTTATGCGGATAATTATTTCGTTAGAGTATGTTAAAGTTGCATATTACACGGACCTGAATATGCAACTCCTACATTGCGTTGACACGCTTACCATATACCATACCACTGGCGCCCACAGGTCTTAAGAAAGTAGAAGCACAGAAGAATAAAATCCTCAATGCTAATAAAAAGCAAGCGCCGTAGGCGCGCTGTAGGCTAGGGGGGTCTGGGGGCATGCCCCCCTAAAATATTTTGAATGGTAGACGTCTGGAGATGCAATGTGATGGGTCTTGCGAGAGAGATTTAGGAACAAAATTGTTTAACCCAAAATTTACTGGGCCACTGTACCATACAAACATATTACGACCTACTAGCTTCCTAAAAATCCGCTGCTGTGTAATGCATGTAATAAGAATGGCTAGCAGTTGTTCCATACATGGTTTTCCAAGTAAGAATGGCCCATTTCCTATTTCCCTGGACCCTGGTAATTAAAATCTCAATTTCGGCTATTCCGAGTCCCAGTTGGCTTTCATTTGTAGAATCATTATAAATGTTTATGGTATTTCCCGATGCCCATGTAATTAAAATGGTCCAATTCCAGGGGCGTGTACAGAGGGTGGTCCAGGTGGTCCGCCCCCCCCCCCCGGCTCGCGCAGAAAACGCATCTGAGGGTGTCTAATTTCAAAATTTTTAGAAATTAGCAGACCCCAGACCCCCCCTTCGCGTGCTCCCAAGTTTGGGTTACGGTTAGACGCCCCCCCCCCCTGGTCCAAATCCTGTACACGCCCCTGAATTCATATGCGCCCCCATAATAACCGTTGCCGCTTACAATAATGCTGTTTAGATTTAGATCTCCGGAATCGAGTTGTGCAAGTCGGGCGGAGGATTGTTTACGGAACAGTTGTGTCACGGCTTGGTACAGAGAAATAAAAGGCGCAAGATCGCATGAGACTGAGATTCAGAGCGAAATTCGCGTGTGAGCGTGGAGAGATGAACCACAGGCACTTGGAGCGTTTCAATAAAATATAATGCTAAATAAATACGAAATCTATTTACTACCAAAGTCTTAATGTTTCTATATGTTTATGTGTCAGTGTGCAGCGGCAGCCATGACGGCAGCCAGAGTTTGTTGGAG